ATGACAATACAACATTAATAATAACAAGATTCCTGACGACTTAAGGGCGACAGAATATAATAACATCCACAAAACTGCCACTAGATTATAAACTAATGTATATTTATGAGGGTCTCAATGGGGTTCATCGTTTGCCTTAAAACGGGACAAGAATTTAGCCGGCCAGGCGTGAAAATTGGAAAATTTTAATGTTAGTCGTAAAAAAATGTTAACCGTAAAAAACGTTAGCTACGAAAGGGAAAGTCTCAAGATCCCTTGTCAAGACATTTTTGTCTTGTGTTGTTGTTTGGTACTACGGGAAAAGGCCGGGGGACTTAATATTTGGCAACGACTCTTATCATAACACCTTTTCCATCCCGGAATGGTTCCTTAAATATTCTTTTTTTACAGTAATTCAATAAATTTTAACTTTTCTAAACAAAGAAAATTAGTTTGTAACTTTTGTAAAAACGTTAATTAATTTCTAAGATTTCTGTTAACCGTAAAGAAACTAAATTAACCGTTAGCCGTAAATTAAAAAGCCAAAATATTAAGCGTTAGCCGTAAAAGCCATCACCCCATTGACACCCTCTTATTTATCCAATGCAATGCTCCTTTTCATTCGAACTATAGAATATCCTGATTAATGGAGAACATAGTTGAGTTTTTACATATGAGATGAAACTTACGTTTACAGGTAGAAATGAATTGCAGATACTGATACTATCAAATCGACCACTCTTTACCTTACAATGCTAACGTTGGAGCACAGTCGAGAGAGTACGTATTCACTATTTAACAATGAATTAGATTATTTGCTCTCGAATACATATAAGGATAGAGTGTTCACCCGAGGGCCTATGGGCTGATTGATTCTTGTAGAAATGTTATGTTCTAAAAACGCAAATGTCACATTTATATGCCGAGTAATATGCGAGTAAATTAATTTATTCAATATGTCCGCCGTGTCGGTAAGTAGGTCTATAATGGCGGTTAATTAGAATAACACAGTGTATGGCTGTGGACAACTTGCAATCTGATTGACCCAACAGCCGTCTCCATGACTACCATCAAAAAGTAGAGCAAAGTAAAACTGTCCAAAACTAAGTTGCAAATTCTACTGTTCAAACGTTCTGTTGATTAATTCTACTGTAATTTTGCGATTTACGCTGTTCAATTATAAAGCCTGCAAACACAGAAAACATCCTTATACTCTTAATGAAGTTATGTGTTTCCAGCCATGCTGGTCCAACGTCGCACGGGACTAGAATTGAAAACAGAAAGAACTAGGACAGGAAAAAAAAACCCGCTTGCAACTGTTTCCTAATATCACACAATGAATATATGTATCTCAAGCGTTTTGTTTGACAAAATGTTTCTTTACATTAAACTTCATCACTATCGTCATCATCGCTGATGGCTTTGTCACCGCTACCAAACCTTTTGGCAAACTCTCTCTCGAAGACATCCATGGAATCAGCATCAATGAGGACAAAGCGAATGTCTTTTAGACTTTCCGGCTTTACAGGATCCTTTCCACCTTCAGAAGTTTTGGTTGGAGCTTCACTGTCCTTTCTCTGCTCTTTTTTGTCCTCAGTTTTCTTTCCATCCGCTTTGTTTTGACCAGTCGCTTTTGAACCTTTTTTCTTCACATCTTCTTTCTTCACCACACTTGGCACTGTGATGTATTGTTCCACCGCGTTTAGCATGGCGAAAGCGCAAGCGTCTATAGGAGCACGAAAGATACCAGAACTAACTGCTGGTACAGCAACAGATGATAAACCAAGCTGCGATGCAAGTTTTAGACTCTCCACACAGGCCTTTTGAAGAAGCTTCATGCTCTTTTTATCGGACTGTCTGTTCCATTCTGGACCAACTGCGTGTATGACGAACTTGCATGGTAAACTGCCAGCAGTCGTGTAAACTGCGTCACCAACGTGTAGAATTTGAAAGCCGCGTTCTTTAATTAACTTGTCAGATTCTCTCTGTATTTCAATTCCACCCTTTTGAACAATCGACTTTGCAAGACCAGCTGCGTGACTCAAAAATGCATTTGCAGGATTGACGATAGCATCAACTACCTCACCAGTAATGTCACCATAACGAAGGGAGATTGTGACGCCTTTTTCCGTTTGATGGGAAAAAGTTTCTATGGAAACGGCTTCAGCTGGTACCGTTCCCATTTCTTCAGGCCACATGGCAGTATCGTGCCTAGGCTGTTCGCGCGTTTCTTCTTCTACTGTAAGCGTTACTTGCTGAACAGATGCAGCATCTCCGTACACAACAAAGGGGCCATTTTCTCGAGGTAAGTCTACTATAACTGGGTACCTATTTGTGACGTACTGGATCAAGGCATCGACTGAACCCTTATTAAATCCCGTCAGGTCCATTTCCCGGGTAACCATACCCTGCGAGACAGTCTCAACCAGCATGCAAAACTCGCTGCAAGCCTCGCTGTATCTGGTCAAATCACAGCCATGTTTTGGCTTTAGTGTAACTTGAGTATCACCATTTGAAGTGGCCAACTCGACCAGAAATTTGCTGCTTATCTGTTGCACCTGTTCGTTGAAAAACTGGCTCATGAAACGAAAGGCAAGTGGTTGCATGTTAAAAATCTGTAAATATATTACAGAAGGATGTGCTCTCCCTTTAGTCTCGCAAACCTCGGGAAGAACCTTTCCTTCCGGGTTTTCATCCAAAGGTGTCGCTATGATTGCGGTTTCACCAGCTGAGCTCGCCTCTGCTGCCCCTTCCATCTCGGATGCTTCGATATTTTTTTGTGCTTTAGCCTCTACGGAAAGCTTGCACAGTCCATTTGCGATACTTTCATCCTTGATAAGGTACTTCTTAACGATACCGTGACACTTATTGATCTGGCTCAATGTGCCATGTATCACAAAGCATTTCTCATTGTATTCAAACGATATACCAACCTCCGATTTAATCTTCTGCACAATCTGCTCAGCCTCTTGGAGTTGAATATCAAAATCAAAGGGATCCAGCACGGCCGTGACTTGAGAGAATACCTAGAGGTAATTAGTTTTCAGTTGGTCAGGTGGCAAAAATTAAGAAGAAACTATGAAATGAGAGTAGTAGGGTAAACTCAAAATTAGGAGAAAAAGAATGCCCGCATTATTGCGGGCGTAACTGCTACCGTAGAGCATAATTAGGGGCATAATAGTCCGCTTTCAAGAACAGACTGTGTTGCATATGACCCGGGATAAGTATAATGCTTGATTTTAGCAACATAATATGTAAACCCCTAGTAAGCAGCTTCGAGAGTTATTAGGCGAAAACACCGATCACATGTACACGTCGAGATAATTTTGCAATTACCTCATGGACTAATTCTACAAAAATCTGCTGAAGTTTCCGAAATAATGTCGACCCATCGATCGCCAATCAAAGTAAAGAAAGAGAACGAGTAGCGTCTAACTAGCCTGCTTCAGGCGTCCAATCAGTCGAGGAACAGAATTACTCTCTTTACTGTTGTTTTTCTGTCCACGCTTTCCGTCCTGCTCCGTAACTTACCGAAACGCCAAGAACAGGCAGTCTCGTGCCTCGATCTGGGTACGAGAGTGCTGGAAAGGCTAATTGCTAACTAAAAGAACTGATATTTGGATCGTCACGCAATGCTCCCCAAGAAAAGAGTGACGTGACCACAAATTGGTCATTACATAAATAAGTTTTTAAAATAATAATATCAAACCTCATCAAGGTTTTTCTCCTCTGCATATCGATCAACTTTAAGTAAAATTCCTCCGATGTTATGTTCTTTATTCAGAACTGCTTCTACAGCTTTACGTGGTGAGAAAAAAAAAAAAAACAATATTGACTTTTCAAGAAAATTAAAAGAAACTATTAATAAATAAATGCTATAAACGCATATATACTGATCAAACTCGATTCGCAACGGGGGTAAGGTTAATTCGTCATCGGGAGTGCTTCGATGCATGCCTTTGCCCAACGTTGAACTACACTTCAACTGAGACACTTAACAATGCTCTATATAACCATGTCTTGGTCAGTAGATTATCATGCGATTAGAGAAATATAGTGAATTCAATACGCATTAACATTATAAGTCGATATATGAAAGATCATATATTTGAACAGCGGAGGAAGATATGAAGACATCAGTGATCATTGCAGTCATAATACAGAACTTATGCAGCTGTGAAATTGAAAAAAAAAATCAATCAGGCTTGAACAGCTTAATTCAGTCTTGACGCTGCTGAAGTTGTGTATCTAATTGCGATGATCCGCGGCATGAATGTCTTCATACGCCGATTGATATTCTCGTTTAACTCTGTTACAGGGTTTTCTTTAACTGATTCGGCAACAACATGAGCTTGTAATGTTTGATTAATTATGAATTTCAAACGTTAACCCGCCGAAAACAACTCAAAATACATTCATAGCTGCAGGCAGGCTGATGGCCGCGCTTTTGTTTGCCTGACAGTTACAGCTCAAGTCCTAGACCGTCTTCAATCAAGCGTCAAGCGCTGAAACTGACTAAAAATAAATCATATGCTTTGATGCGGTCCGCACAAGTATTCATCTACTCACTTTCTGCTTCTTCAAATGTAATAACAGCTTTATCTCCATCTTGTGTGAGCCTCACTGACGACAC